TCTTAAAGGTCTTTTCCAACGTAAACGATTCTGTGATTCTATGAGAAAAACTAGAAAGCAAACTTCTGGGATTTGTTAGGAAAGTACTTTTGCTGTTAATGGCAGATGCACCTCATTCATGTAACCTAATGGTCTGATCTGGTATGCAGCTGCATCATTGACATTAAACTATATCTGCCACTGTACCTGAAGGTGCAAAGGGCAGTCTGTGATGTCCTTGTACAATCTCCTGTGTTTGCTGTTACAGGCTATGAGAATGAATAAGTAATGTCTGTTTACTATCTTTCAGCAGAAGTCTGTCTTTTTTAGCATTTGGTTAGAGTACAGGGTTCAAGGTCAGCACTTTATTCCTGGAAGAAATGTCTTTCTTACTAAGCATACATACTTACTTCTCTTTCTCTTTCTGAAATATCCTGTTACTCCCTTGCTAGATAAGAAACTTCATAATTAAAAAAAAGTGTTCCGTTTCTGAGCTCCAGTCCATGCAACTAAGAAAAGGCAGCAAACTAGTCAAACCTAATGGACTTGTCTTTGCAAAATTGTGTTGTGACCTTTTTGGATCTAGACAGCCTTGAAGTCGAACCTTCTACCAGCTACAGATACATTTCTTTATTCTGCATTACTGTAACCGTTGCCAGACCCTCATTCGAGGATAAAGAGGAAGAAGAACAGCCTGTTACATTTAATAGTATGTGGTAGCTGGCAAGAGCAGTGAAACAGGTCTTTGCAAAACATGGAAACACAAAACAAAGAAACCCAGCGCTGTATTTCTGGAGGCTCAGAGATTTCTTGCCTTAGCTGTGTATCTGTCCCCATAGTTTGTGTCTTCCAGGAGCTGTTCTTTTATAAGGAAGCTTTAATGAAAGAGACTTCAATATCCAGAAGATAAATCTGACTTAAGAAAGAATTATTAAATTCTATTACATGGGCCCTCTGCAATGTCTTATGTTTTTATTAATTTAAAAAAAAAAAAAGCCTGCTTGCTGGGTAAAGTTAAGTTATTACCATGTGAGTGGCACCATGTTTATAACAAGTTTCTAGTAACTCCCAGGAATTGGTAATGATGAATTTGACAACAGATAACCACCACAAATGTTCTTTACAGGGGTATCAAACCTGGGAAAACTCTAGTACAGGCTGGTGGGGTTTTTTTTTTTTTTTTGGTTGGTTGGTCTGGGGTGTTTTTTGCCACTGAATAGTATGTGATATACTTACTCTGCTTTAAGCAAGCTGTTTGAGCAGGGTACTTGAGAATGCTTTCATAACATGGGATCAAGTACTAATTTAGAATTTCTCTTATGATACCAAAGGAGGAGGGAGCGAGGAAGTATGCAGGGACACTGATCTTGAATCAGAATGATTTTTCCCTCTACCAGAAGAGAATTAGGATGTGTATGTGGTACACCAAGACTCAAAAGTAATAATTTCTTAGACTTGAAATTGTGGCATCTGAGTAGTGGATTGAATGACTGCTATGGCATACCATGTCCAGAATACATTCCATAAATCTTCCTGTAAAGCTGGGAGCCAGAGACACTTTTTCTTCCTCTAAATGGAACATTATTTTCAATTTGGTCTGCCCAATGTATAACCTTGATTGGGTGAAAGAGTCCTGAAAATTAATTGAAGGCTTTAGGTATATTTGAAGGTTTCTGGACTTTAAGTTTCATTTAAGGTCATCACTGTGGTGCCTTTAGTTTCACATTCTCTACCCTGTCAAATTTTGTGGGGCTTTTTTGTTCACCTGTCTTCATGCAGATTCTTACTGGATCCACGGCATTCATACCCATTCTAAAATTCCACTGCTTAGTGAGGGAGTCTTTTTTTTTTCTTGATTCCCGTTTCAACTTTTGTTGTTAATGCCTCACATTCTACTTTACTATTAAGAAGCTTTTTGTTCTCCATTAAATTAGGCAGAAGGATCATCCTAGTGTTGATAAATTACAGTTATCTAACTGAAGTAAGATAGTAAGCTTTATCTTGGACTTTTTCCTAAAGTGGGCTGGTCTTCAACTTAAATCAGGGTTGTCTAGCTTATGATTCATTTAGCTGTAAAATTTAATTTCAAAATGCTGTAGTTGCTGTAAGTTAATGACTTGGGGTTTTTTTTGTGTGTTAAATGTGCCTGAAGGTATTATGTTGTCTTAAAAACTTTCAGCTGAGAGAAAATGACTGCAATCAAGCATGCTTTACAGAGGGATATTTTCACTCCCAATGATGAACGCTTGTTGAGCATTGTGAACGTGTGCAAAGCAGGCAAAAAGAAGAGAAACTGCTTTTTGTGTGCCACAGGTACATAATAATACTACACCGTATTTCATGTCTTCACCTTTGGTTTTTATTCATTTGCATTTGTCTTACAATATTTATTCTAGCCCCATACAAAACAGGTGCTTTCCATTTCTAATGGAGAAAATAAATTGTAGCTTATACTTCCATTATTGCTTTTATCAAAAAAGAAACAAACCCCTGTACTTTTATTCCTAGATCTCATTGTAATTTGGAATGAAAGAATCAAAATTATTTCTGTGGGACTGGTGGGCTTTTGAAGCAGGCTTTATATAGTGCTTAAACAGGGATTTAGTAGGCATTTAGGCTTATCAGCCTAAATAAAATGCAGTAAAGAGTACTGGTTGGAGTCCAAGGCAGAGGGCTCTAGAAAGGCACAGTAACTGAACTGAATTCTAATGTTCCTTTGAGTATATGTGTATTATATTATGTCTCTTCAAAAAATTAGGTGCTTTGGGTTGATCTGTCAATCACTTAGCTTGCTAGAATTTTTTGACTGAAGAATCTCAGAAAATGTTTTTATTCCGACTATAATGTCTGATTACCCCTGTGCTTTGTCAGTTATGTGGCCATGGTCTGAGGTCTGCTGTATCAAAGAAATATCTGTAAATTGGGTTCATTACTTCACAAGCTGTATAGACGTATATCTGGTTGACTGAGACTTAAACTGAGCTGTGGATATTGCGTATGAAAATGTTTCAAAGGGTCTCTTTTCATCAAATGAAATCTGCCCCACGGATAATTCATTTCAGAAGTTGAAATATAGCAGAAACAGATGTTAAAGTAACTTGTGCATTTTGAAATTACTCTTCATTTAACAGTGACAACGGAACGACCAGTGCAAGTAAATGTGGTGAAAGTGAAAAAATCTGACAAGGGAGATTTCTACAAAAGGCAGACTGCATGGGCACTTCGAGATCTCGCTGTTGTTGATGCCAAAGATGCTGCTAAAGTATGTGTAACTTTTTCATTTAGTGCTCTGCTCAGAACATCCTTTTGGTTCCAAGTTAGAGTTAACTTCCTTGATACTGGCTCCTTTGGAGCTTAGATTGATAACATGTTCATTAGGAATTGGGATGATACATTCCTGTGCTGCTTATGCCTGCATTTTCTTCCAGCCTTTTCAAAATATAACCCTGGTAAACTGAGTAAGAGCAGTCCAGATATGCTTGAATAGCAGTATTCTGAATATCTGCCCTGTTTATGGTAGTGATCTCTCTCAGTGACTGTAGAGTGCTTGTGCTAAGGACCAGTACTTTTTTGGTTGTCTCAAATCTTCTGTAAATTTTTACTCCAAGCTTAGTTTCCCCTTAAAAAAAATTACTACCATCTTACTGATGACATTGAGGTGCATGTAATGTTTTTTGCTAGGACACTTAAAACATTCTTAAGGAGCAGTATATAAGCTTTCATATCTGTTCTCCAAATGATGACATTGGCCATTTGTTGGAAAGCGTACAGTCCTGAGGTGGTGTTCCTTTCCATAGAACAACAAGAGCAACCTATTTTTGACCATTTAAATTCATCTGTTGTCATAAACTAAGATATACAAACAGGCAGAGGTGAAAATTCTTCATCCTGTGATGTCTAGTTTTATGTTCTGTTAACTGGTGATTTGGAAGAATAGTGCAGAAAACTATGAAGTTGAAAATTCTTTGATTTCCACCTCCCCAAGTATAGGTTAAATATGTTTTGTTACTTCAGTTATCCACATACTTGTTGGCTAGATTTTAAGTTTTCCTTGCTGAGTGATTTTGAAATTTTCTTTCAAAAAACAAACATTGAATGCCAAACTCTCTCATATTAAAAAAGTCAGAACTAAAGTTGATAGGTGCATCCTGTTTTGGTTTCCAAATGTGATCCTATGCAACTCTTTTGACACAGGCCTTTCCTGCACTACTCAAATTTATGTAATTATACTCTTCGTTTAGAAATGTATCGTAATTATATTTATCAACATAAGCTACAGAAAAAACTAGAACTGCTTTTATTGCCCTGTACAGGAAATACCATTTCCCATCATGTGTGGTTTCATATGCAGCCTGCTTCTGTAGATAGTAGTGACAATATAAGAAATAAGTAGCAGCAATGGTAGTTTTTACAAACTATGTATAAGTAAGAATTTAACATGTATCTGAGGCAATAACACTTTTCATCAGAAGGAGGCTGGGCCTTGGAATATGATCTTTAAAACAGACTATTACCAGTTACAGTCCATAGTGTGTTCATAAGTGGCTGTAGAAAGGAAAGTACTTTAACCAAATGTTACCAAAGCAATGTTCTCATCAGGCAATAAATCTAGTTGAAAACACTTCTGTAGTAGTTTTTTACCTTTAAAATATCAAATGGTCATTTCTGTTATGTTCAGTGCTATCAAATACTATCATATCTGTAAAATATATAAAGTGCTCATAATTTTTTTTCCCCTTGCCTGTTCCTCTAAGTCTCCTTGAATTGTGTTGTATATATGTTGTCAGTAATTCCAGCTACTGTTTGTAGTTTCAGAGGGCTAACACAAGGCATTAGTCATTCTGAGGACAGTGTTTCAGGGCAGACAGCACTGTCAAATGTTCTTGAAACTCTTACAGATCTCTGTATTATGTGTTATTGTAGCTTTATCTGGCTTGACAAAATACTGTCTTCATAGCATGGATTCTGGTTTTTCACTTCCAGTGTTTTAGCACCTTCATTAAGGTGCATCAGGGTGCCAGAGTTGGTGTATCAGCTTAAAGTTGGCATCTGTGTAATTTCATTTTTATCCTGTCATCTCAATAATTAAATGAGTGAACAATCTCTGCTGCTCAGAGAATCATTTGACTGTTGAGCCTGTAACACATCTCATCTTTTGCAGGAGAATCCTGAATTTGACTTGCATTTTGACAAAGTGTACAAATGGGTTGCAAGCAGCACAGTGGAAAAGAACACCTTCATTTCATGTATCTGGAAACTCAATCAGAGATATCTTAGAAAGAAAATTGACTTTATTAATGTTAGTTCACAGCTTTTGGAAGGTAAGTTTCTACAACTGTATGTTAAGTATAAAGTTTAATAGTTATTGATGTAAAACAGATACACTAAAAAAAAAAAATCCTGATCCTGACTTTTTCTCCTATTCAATTTTACTCTTTTATATTTTCTAAGTCTTCAGATAAACAAGGTGACTAGGTAACAGATTATCTGTTAGAAAACTGAGAACTGAGAGAAAATACTTCATTACTGAAGTGCTAAATTTTGATATGCTTATTGTATTTCTGACACATTCTGTTTCTTGAACAAAATAAAATCTACGTGCAAGATCTGATAGGTCTAAATGTGTAACAAATCTGCTTTTGTTCTGGTTTTCACTTCCCCTGAATTAGAAAAATGCTTTAAATTAAAATGACACTTCAGTAGCATGCTAAAGGTTATGTGAGATTTTATATGAGGTTTCTAGTTTATGAACTGTGAAGCATGTGTTAAATTCTGCTGGACTGTGTTACACTTTACGTGACTGACTGGTTGCTAAGATGGCTTTGTATCTTGTTCGCTCGTGCTGTATTAAATATTTTTACAGTCACGCTATCTTTTCATAGTTAAAAAATTTTAGTAGATTCTAGTGAGTAAGCATATCCCACGTTGAGTCTGTCAGAAGTGGTTAGCCTGTTGATATTAAATTGTGCGGAAGAAGTTGAATTAGAAATATAAAACAGGGAGGACAGCATTTCTGTATTTTGGTGTTGACTGAAATTTGTTTTTAACCAACCTCTAGCTTTTCAAGTTCATGCAATATTAAAACATTCAAACTTACTGCCACTTAAAAATAGACACACTGATCATGCTTTGTCTAGCTAACATTCTCTGCTTCCTTTCCTCTGCTTTTCCATACCTTTTAATTCTTCAGAACTGCCTAAAGTTGCAGAAGGTGCGTAACACCTTTTTCCTTTATTCTGCTTTGTAAGCAATTTTTCTGAAATAATACACTTTTCCTTTTTTTCCAAATAGTGCTTTGGATAGCTTATCAAGTTGCTAGAGATAAGAGATGATTCAAATGTCCTAAACACTTTCTGGCTGGACTGTGTTAATGTTCTGTAAATAGTTTGTCAGTGTTTGAATGGCTTGTTGAATTAAGTAAGCACTGCCATGAGAAATCATAGTTCAGGAAAACACTGGTATATAATTTTCACTTACCTCAGTACTGGTTTTCCTGCTGTGAAACTTACCTTGAGCATCAAGATATTTTTTATTTATTCAGTGATGTATTTCTTAATCAACTTTAGTATGTTTCCCTTATGTTCTGTCTACCAAGAGAAAAATCTAACTTCTGCTGATTTTCTGTTAACAACTGTAGCGTAATACTGTAATATATTCTGATGTTGATTACCAGTGTGAGAGGTGAATAAACAGACCATATGTCCCTTTGTACATGCAATAAAGTAAGGTGGCTATTTGTATTTTGCTTCTGTTGTATAATTTGGAAAACATCACTGTTGGGAACCAGTTCTGGAAATCTTAATGAAGCCCATGGAAGACTGAGACTTGAAAAAAGTGTACATAGGTAGCAGGTGCTTGTTATGACAGTCGTTGAATGGATTTGTTTACTTAAAGATAGTTGAACATACTTAAGTACTCTTAAAATGCTTGTGACTTTCTGCACTTAATAATATGTTTTATTTCCCTTCTCTATGTAAGAATCTGTTCCAAGTGGAGAGAATCAAAGTGTAGCGGGAGGTGATGAAGAGGCTGTGGATGAATACCAGGAGTTAAATGCAAGAGAGGAACAGGATATTGAAATAATGATGGAAGGGTGTGAATATGCTATTTCTAATGCTGAAGCCTTTGCAGAGAAGTTGTCGAGAGAGCTGCAAGTGCTAGATGGGGTAAGCATTTCTTCTGACGTACAGTATGTTAGCATGTGGAACTGTTTCCATTGATACTGACTACGTAGCATTCCTTGAAAAGGTAACTAACATGTTATGCTGCATATTTAAATATAAAAGTATATCTGCTCCTAAGTAGAGCTGCATCCTGTCTATTATCAGATTTTGAAGATCTTCGGCTTCACTCTTTACCTTCTGGGGTGAGTCGCAGGCTTTCAAATGAGAAGTTGAGAAGAAAAAATGCAAGCATTCTGCATATACCTTTCCTGAAGGCAGGGGTGCAGGGAGAGAGAAAATATATTTTCATGTCCATGGATGTGAACTCTTATGCCTAAAATACTACTCTCAGTGTAACTAGGAAACTGGCTTAGTCTAATAATCTTGTGGTATTCGGCTGTCTGTAACCGTACCAGATTGTTTGCTATTTTGCTTTTTAAACAACCCAACATTCTAGAGGTCACCTAGAAAACTTAAGGAGATGCAGGGGATACAGTCCTGAGGGAACAGTTAACAACCTCCTCAAATTGTCAAGTTGTATGTTTCTCTTAGATTTTGAAAATGGCTGTTATCATAGACATAGCTGATCTTGCAACAGAAAATATGACCTCATCACCTAAGCTGTTTTTCTGGAACTAAAAATGTTCCAGTATAGTAGGGATTGCTGTTTGGTTTTTATTTTTGTGCAGATCAATACTTCAATTCTAAGAAATTGAGAGAACTTCTGGGTTTATATCTTTTCTTTATGAAATAAAGAAGTGTCATAGACTGAGGGACTGCTGTGTTCAATAACGCTTTAAATGAGAAGTACTACAAGCTTATATTGGTTTTTTTGCTTTCATCAAGAGTTTTGGAAAGTGTTCATTTGACAGTAATAGAGACAAAAGGAGATTTTGAGATATAAAAATGTCTTTTAAATGCTGTGGCTTAATTATCTGTACAGGCAAATATCCAGTCAATTATGGCCTCGGAGAAACAGGTGAATATCTTGATGAAGTTGCTGGATGAAGCTCTAAAGGAAGTTGACCAAATTGAGCTAAAGCTGAGCAGTTATGAAGAAATGCTTCAGAGTGTGAAAGAGCAAATGGATCAAATTTCAGAAAGCAACCACCTAATCCATCTCAGCAACACAAATAATGTGAAACTACTGTCAGAGATAGAGTTCTTAGTGGTACGCATTTTTATTGTGTTTACTATGGTTGGTCACATCAGGTATAAAATTCTTTTAGGTTGCTACCCTCTTTAACAACCATATACGAGGTTCATTTAAAACAATGAGTTTATTTTTCTGTTTTATGATTGCACTAACTTCAGTAAGTTTCTATAATGGTGGAACTGTATTTATCATTCTTGGTTCCGCAGCATAGCACACTAACCTGCTTCTGGCTTATGGACAGTACTATCCATTATTTTGTAGAATCACATGGATTTGGCTAAAGGTCATATAAAGGCCCTTCAGGAGGGAGATCTGACATCTTCTCGAGGCATTGAGGCCTGCACTAATGCAGCAGATGCCCTTCTACAGTGTATGAATGTAGCTCTTCGTCCAGGTAATGTTTTCGTTAACTACAGTCTAACATAAAAAACTTACTATATTAGTGCCTTCATTGTATGTGCCTTTCCAACTAGTCTCAGATTTTGTTTCTGTAGATTGCAAAAATTGTGACCTCTGGTCCTTTTGGTTCCCACATACAACACATTACTATATATTTTGTACTCCGTGAATTCCTTTTTGTCTTTAGGACATGATATGCTTCATGCAGTGAAACAGCAACAGCAGCGGTTTAGTGACCTGCGTGAGCAATTTGCACGGAGACTTGCCAGTCATTTGAACAGCGTATTTGTTCAGCAGGTATTATTTCTTACTATTCTATATGAAGTTTTCAGTCACGAACTTCTGAGCAGAAAAAAAGTCCACCTAAAATTGAACATGTTGTGTGATGTAATCAGTAAGTGAATGGGCTGCTAGAGGCACTTCAGGCAGAGAGATTACTAAGCATTACCAAACTGTAGTTGCCTAAAGAAGTCTCTTATGTTTAAAAGAAAAAAAACACCTCTCTTTAGCGGGTTTTCTATGTGAATTAAACACATTTTGTGACATATGAGGATTTATTTTAATTGTAAGACTTGATTAATTGAGGAGAAAAAGCATTGACTTTTTTGTTTAAGGGTGTCAGAGGCTGAGAACATTGGAGTTCTTGCTGTCTGAATTTCAAGGGCCATAAAAAAAACCCCAAAAAACCAAACCAACCATACAGAGCAAAATGTCTACATCTTGATTTTTGAGCCTTAACTTGAAATACTCAGAAATCACTGTCCTGAGACTTGTTCCCGAAAGGTTGGATGTCTTTTTTAGCATCAGTTTTTTAACTTCTGTATTTTTTTTATCTTCAATTAGTTTACTCAGACCTTCCTTCAACTGTATAACAGGTCCTACTATCTTTCAGTTCCAGTGAGTACATTGGGTTTGATACAAGCTTTTCTAACTAATTTTTTTGAGCTTGACTTACCTAACTACCAGCTGCATCTTTGGCTTTATGAAAATAAATTTATCCTTACCAATTGCAGAGCATCAGACTTACACCCCTTCTCACTTCCATTATTTTTATAAGCCCTCAAGCTTTGTTTATCTGTGTATGAGATAACGTTCCTCTCCAGAAATTGCTAAGAGATAGATTGAGATGTATGGAGGAAGAATATTTTCAGGGAATTGTAATATGTGTACAACTGTACAGGTACTGCAATTGTGTGAAATTGTAATATTTGTAAATAAAAAATAATTCAGTTTTCATACATACTAGTGCAATCAAAGTTTTAGACGCTTTCCTTTATGTATTAGACTGTGTGCAGAAAATGGAAGAGAGTTATGTTGAATAATTGTATAGAAAATTACATTTTAGAGTACAAGCCTGGCTTTTTATGGCAAAGATAAGTGCTTCCTATGTTTTCTTCACTTTGCAGAAGAATTCCAGTTCTATAATGTTAAATTTTTTGCCTTTAGTTTCTGTTCTTAAGAAGGTATGTTTCTTCTGTTACTTTTCATATTTTGAAAAACTGAGCACAGACTATGTGTCCTGGCCTCTAAATGAGCAAGTAGAAGCTATGTTGTAACTCCTATGTAACAAAGGTTACAAAGTTTGAATACTGGACTTGTGTATGAAAGTGGTTTTAACAGAATGACCTTTCTGATGTTCTGTTCTGGGGATTTTATTTTTAAAAATGGTGAGAGATTATTATTACTATGTAATACTACGTGTATTAGATGAAATACTTCTAAAGAGACTTTTCAATGCTATTGAGAATGCTATTGCCAATTTGTAAGTTTTTTATTTATTTATTTTATTTTTTAAAATTCTGGTACCAATAGTGGCCTCTCATTGTCTTTCATATAAACTTGCCATCTGAAAAGTTTTGGCCTGCTGTTAGCTGTGAGGTACTAATCAACAGATAAAAAATATGACCTTGCTGTAAGGTTAAGCAGGAAGAGTTCATTAACTGCAAGAGATGAGGCTCTGCAAAGCCTTTTTGCAAAAGAAAAAAAGTTTGTGTACTTCATTTTGAGGTACGGATTCAAGTATTGGAGGTATTACAGATTTCTGTGGTATCCTACTAAAATTACCTTGCTTTGTTAGTCTGACAAATAAAATATAGCAATTTCTCAGTCCCATGTTTTTGAAAAGTCTAACTGGAATACTTTGTTACCTTTAACATCTGAAGAGTTGCATTATTTGTTTAGAATGTTTCTTTCAAAAAAAATAAATGAAAGCATTTCAGGAAAAACTAAGGCAGATAAAGAATTGTAAATTAAAATAGCAAATGAAAACATGATGATGCCTAGGCGGCTGCTAATACAAGCAAGACATATTCTGATTCGGAACTCATTAGGTGGAAAATGAAAGTTGCATTGAAATTTTGGCCTAAATATATTATCTTAGAAGTATGAAATTTTTCTTTTTTTAAAAAGCAAACAAACCCAGTACTGTGATTCAAACTACTGTTGTAATATATTAAGGTGCTTCATCTCTTTTACGTAAAAATGAGAATCTTAAAAAGTTTTAAACAAAAATGCAACTTTGGGTTGCTGTTTACTGCAATGTTAAAAGCTGTTTGCAGTAACTGCTACTAACAGTTAATGTAATTGTCTTTATTGTTTCCTAATAATATTTGATTAACCTTACTGTATGTCTGTAACTTTAAAGAATTTTCTTTTTTTTTTTTTTTTTAAACAACCAGGTTCAGCATTCAATTAAAAGGCAACTCTGGGCTTTCTGCCTTTAAAATATGAAATAGTTTGGAGGTTTGAAACTATGAAATAGTTGAATAACAAACTTGCAGCATCATTTGGTAACAGTATAAATGCATGCATTTATAGTATGTGTAGTGTAGTGAGAGGAAGCTGGTTAACTAGATGGAGAAGGTACACCTAGAAGCTCCATAATATTTTGCAGCAGACTTGAACAGGACATTATTTAGGACAACCAGAATGATTCATCCTGTGGAAAAGTTGGCTTGGAGAGAGAAATTTATCTTGAGGGGATTTGTCATCTAGTTTTATGAAGAATGCAACTACTAAGCAAAAATAAAAAGTTGTATGTAATAAAGGAACATGAATAAAATTGTTATATATAAGAAGCAATAAAAACTTGGATAGCTAAGTATTTCCTAGCAGTGACATGAACTAACTTTTGGACTGACTTAGTTCAAGAAAGTGGTGAAAGCCACCAGGTAAATTATCTTAAACTATAATGAACTTGAACATTAAAATGCATGCTGTAGGATTGTTGCACACCAGGGGACAGGAGAGAGAACCATAAATGGTTTCTTATATCTAGTTTTTATAAAAGCCTATCAAAGATCTGTTGGAAATATTTTCTATATGCATGCCCACAAGTACACGACCTCAGTAATCGCATCAGCAGCTGTGTGGCTAATGATGCCTGGATTCCAGTTCCAAATTATAGGTTGCAATAATTACAAAGTTAGCTTTTTGCTGGAGTCAGACTACAAGATTGTTGTTAGAAGGGAGATTAACAGTATGACCCTTCCCCATTGTTTGTGAGAATAAATGAAGAAGTTGTCTAGCACTTGTTTCTTTGTGTCCATTTGTGTCTCAGTTTATGTAGTTAAGAGAACAGGAGTTTAAGTGCATGTTCATGTTGGATACAAAAAAGTAGTCCGGCTTTATTCAGAAGCTGGCATGTTCACATTGTATTACTTAGTAAAGATTAGTCTTCTACAAATAATATCAATACTCGTGTTTTCATTTTTTTTTTTTTTAAACAAAAATCTGTGAATGTAGTGTGGAAGCTTCTAGGGCTTTTTTTATCCAAAGACTTGAACTGATTGTATTGTATTGTACCCAATACAATAGAGAAGGGTGAGTCAAAGTTGCTTCAGTTTTGATTCTGTGACCCCAACTGGCTTCTGTTCCAACTTAAAGACGTGCTAAGGCAGTTTTTAAACTGTATAGCTTGTATTCTGCCAGCTTGTTGTATCCAAGATGGAACTGTCCAGGAATGCTTCTTCTGTCAGGGACTGACATTGACTGACCTGTATAAGCCACCCCCATGTTATGCTACAGGAACTGGAGACCAATTAGGACAATCTTTTTGTGCTGCCATAGCACAAACTATACCTAAGATCAGCTTCTGTTGCTGTATTTATTGCAAGCCTGGTAAAAATGACTTTACAGAAAATATTAAAGCCATTTTGAAACTAAGTTCCATCCTCCCCTCCGTTAACCCAGGGCTAATGGTTGTGTATTCTGCTACATGGCTGAACTGTGGTGTTACCTTGCTTGCTTCCTGAATTGCCCAGGAAACTTGTGAGTTCAGGCAAGTGAAAGCTTAAAGAAGCTAAATCACATGTTGTTCAAGCAATATGGTGTGATCTTCTCTTAAAGGATAGCGTGTTTTTCAGGAGGTAAGCCAGAGAAAAGGAGCGTGAAGTTAGTAGCTTGCTGTTAAATGGATTGGTTTATGCTGCATGTCGTAAACTGTTTAACTCCAGTAAATGTTTACTGAAAGTGTGTGTGCGTCTGCATTTGTGTGGAGGGAGACAGAACGTGTGTGAACTGATGTTTTTAAGACTTGACCGAGGCTTGGCTAAAGTGGACTAAAGTGGGCTGAATTGGAGCAGATTTTCAGAGGTGTAGCATAAAGCTCATCACTAACGCCTAGGCCATTGACTGGGGACTTGAAATGTCTTACAGTATGTGGGAACATCTTTAAAAAGAAGCAGCTATGGATTTTTTTGTTTGTTTGTTCAGAGAAATAATGTAATAATCTCTTAGAATTTTTCAGAAACAGTTGAACACTTGTCATTAAATCTTCACTCAGGTGTACCTTGCATTCCCTTGCAAAAAAATGCCAAATTGACTCATCCTGAAGGCAAAGTGGTAAACAGCAAGAGCCTTACAATGAGCAAGCTTACTAAGGTGCATTACTTGCCACAACTATAATATCTCGGTGTTCATATTATGTTAGGCGTCTTTTCATCTGTGTCTCTAGACTTTGTTTCTATGCAAGATATTTTGATGCTTTTCTGTTTGTCTGAAGGGGATGCTGTCTTTGTTTTAAGTTTTTCAGGAAACTTCTAGTACATCTGTAGAGTGCTTCCAGATTTACTTTAATACTTTCTCTTATCAAGGGTCACGATCAGAGTTCTACTCTTGCCCAGCACTCTGCTGAATTGACATTACCCAATCACCATCCATTTCACAGAGATTTACTTCGATATGCTAAACTGATGGAGTGGCTCAAGAACACAGATTATGGAAAATACGAAGGGCTAACAAAGGTATGTGAAATGCTCAAATGATGCTAGATAATGTACATAATATACTGGTTTTCAGAGTCAAAAGAATTGGCTGTGTATATGTGCATGTCCTTTTAATATTCCCTTATATTAAATTTAATTTGCTGCTGCTCTTCTTGTTCCTCTTTGGAACAGGAAACTTCATTTTTTGGTATTTGTATCCTGTATATTTTTTTTTCCTCCAAGATTCTATGTCTCTGTTCTAAAGTATCATAAGATAATCTTAATATTTATGTAAAACAAGTTTGCCGTTTTACAGTCTAGTAAGAAAAATAATTAAGCTATTTTCATGTTGAGGTGCTTATTGCCTATGTGACATCTTTATTTCAGTAGACCTTCATTTCACTTGAGAATATCAAAAACTTAAGAGGTCTCCTGTAAAGTAGATTAAATAGAAATATTTTGGCTTTGTATATATGTAACTTCTAACTACCTTGTTTAAAACTGATACAGAGTGGCAAAAAAAATTACTGCAGAAGTATAGAAAATGTTTAGATAGAAGTTAAGGGAAAGGTAGTCCTTACAGAACAAGTCTTCTTTTATTAAAGTACTGTCATTCTTAAAAACTCAACTATGGAAGATTTAAATTAGGCTCTTCAAATGGCTTTGAAATAGTTGTTCTTTTGCCTTCACTGTAAGGCAAATGGTCAATGAATGGTTGACGTCTTTGTGATCTTCTAATAAAAAACTGAGAGACTTACATATTTATGTATTATGTGCGCTAGGTAACAAAACTTTGAAGAACGTAGGAAAAAAATTCTTGGGTGATCTTTGTGATAAATAAAACATTATTATAACCTTTGTACTAAAAATTTAAACAAACCAGACAATCTTCAAACTTATTTCCATTGATGTGCCTCTTGTCTTTTTAAAATTTGAGCTTATTTTTGGCAGTGTTGCAAACAAATTATTTTGGGATTGACTGAATCTTGTACTAAGTAGGCACACAGAGTTTGTGCCTCCCAAAGTTTTCCGGTCTTTTGTTTTCCTTGTGGCAATAGTAGTAAAGGAGGTCATGTACTCGGGAAGATGTGCCGGAATGGCATCCTATTTGCTTTTTTGGGGGCATAGTAAGAGTCTAGCAAAAGAGGCTACAGAGAATGGTGTTGAATTTTCTTCATTCTATCTTTGAATTGAATTCTATGATGCTCTACCACTAGTAATCCTATATTTATGTACCACATTGCATAACCTTCCTTATGGAGGAGAAGTAGCAATTTCTGATGCTCAATGAACTCACTAGAAAAATGAATATAACCTGTTTAAATATCATGAATATATTTCTGTGCATGCTACATAAATATGTAGAACAAAGTCAACATGTATACCTGTCAACTAATTTTACATTTTTCTTTTAAGAATTATATGGATTATTTATCACGACTGTATGAAAGGGAAATAAAAGATTTCTTTGATGTTGCCAAGACCAAGATGACAGGCACAACTAGAGAAGGAAAAAAGTTTGGTAAGCTTCCAGGAGGCGCATATCTTGCTTTGAATCTTATTATTTGCTTATAAAATACTCATTACAACACCTAGGGCCAATTTTATAATGGTGTAAAATTGTTTACTTTTGGCAAAGTGGAAGAAGTTGGATGAAAAATATGATTGGTAAAACTTCTGACTTCCACAAGGCCAAAGTAGCACAACTGAAATCTTGTGAAATTGGCCAAGATAGAAAGGTAAAATATAGTATTTCTCAGATTTTCAAATCTACACTCAGTTTTTAACAAATTACCAACCATATTTTATTACTTGAACTGTCCTACTTTATTACTGGAACAAATTTGGAAGATCAACTCTTGCAATCAAAGAAAGCTTGGGCAGCACGTCTGTGTTCCTTCTGCTATGACTTCTGCTTTTAATAAGTTTTGGGTGGATTTTGAAGCAGCTCATTTTAATGATAATTCTGCCTAAGGAAACTAGTGTATTTCATTTTGTTCTCAGTGGGATTTACCTATGTAGTCTGAGACTAGAGATCATATTTTCCTACCTTGTAGGTCTTTCCGTTCAAGGGAGTATGTATTCCTGCTAGGATTAAACAGTCTAGTGTGAGCTATGGAGGTGAAGCTTTTAAAAAAGCAACAGTGATATAGGTGTATTTATATATTGGCTATTGTATATTTCCAAGTGCACTGTTTCAAAACTTGTTTAAAATATTTATATTTGCCACAGTTCACCAGTTTCCAAATTCTAAATTCAGAAATTATGTGCAGCTTTGACTAGTAAGTTCTGTCAAGCCTATTTTGGGTCCTGAACTTATGCTTTGAAGTTTGATGGTAGAGAACAGCAAAAAGTAATGGAACGAAGAAAGCAGGAGAGTGGTGAGGCTTGACTGAGGGAGGGGGAAGCTGGAAAGATAAGTCTTGGCAAGCTGTTGGACATGGAGAGAAGTGGTGCCATAATGTGTCATCGCCAGAACAGTTAAATTCGTAAATCTTGAAAAGCTATCTTATTACAAGAAGAAAGCACTTTATCCTAATATAAATTGATTTCTAAAACATTCTAAATGCTTTATCCTGGCACTTCTTCTGTGATTTGCATTATTTGAGGAGACAGTTTTTGTAGCAATTTCCTAACTTCTGTAAATGTTATGGAGTGACCAGGCATTTTGGAGAAAGAGGTCCTTTAATTCAATTCACCAGCATAAGAGCTGCACCTTGAAAAGGCTTCTGTTGTATATCTGTGCAAATTTCAAGCGTTTGAACTTTGTACTGAAGAGTCAAGGAGGAGATTAGCAAAGGGTTTTTTTTTTTAATCAGTTCTCTTTGTTTGATTTCTTTTCTAATATTACACTTTCACAGTTGTACAAAGAGTATGTTTATGTTTGAGTCTTGCTGGTGACTGACTGACATGCAAAACTTGACCCAAGTGCCCAGTCCTCTGAAAGCTGGTAGGAACCAGTCACAAAGCCAAAACTGGAAGCTGTATCCAGTGGGGACTATCCTAGAATTATTAATGTTATCAATGGTAATTAAGCCATTAAGTAATCGTTATCAATGGCCACATATTTGAGGCCACAAGCGAATTTGACAGTGAATTGGATCAAAAAAACTTCAGTCCTATAAGTACTAATCTTATAAAGAAGGAAAGTAAATGACATGTTTAAAAAGCTGTTCCTTACACAAATATTATTTCATTTCACCATTTAAATATCAAGTTATGTATTTATTTTGTAACAGCTTATAATGGTGTAATTTCAAAGGTTTCTATGTTGAAGGTAGTGGTGGTACTATGACTAGTTGCACATTAATTTAAAATACAGGACTTCTTAACAGTTAACTTAAGGAATAGTGTAGGTGCATAATGCTCCAGTTGTACTCAGACACTAAAGATGACCTGTTTCCAAGCTGTGTTGGTGTGTGTTCTTGCCTTTTTTTTGTGCTTTGGGAATACTACTGCTATTTGAATGCCTCAAACGCAGAGGGGATGCTGGGAGAATTCTGGCATTCTGTGCTAGTGCAAGGTTCTTCGTCTGCATTTTTATGGCAAAAAAAATTCTGGGTTGTGAGCATTCACACGTGTCTTAAGTAGTCTTATTTTTCTTTTTTTTTTTTTTAATTTCTTTTCTGATTAAGCCAAGACTTTGACACTTAAATACCATAAAAATCAATGTGGGATAGTGTGCTACTGCTGTCATAAGTTTATATGATGTGGCTTCTCAAAAGCCACTATGGCTCCCAGATTGTCCAGGGCCTGCTCTTTGCCTGTAGCTCTTCACATTCTGTAATCTAGTCCCGTACATTTGGAAATTGAGGACAATGAAGAATTGGGACCAATACATGACACATGGATATGCAAAATATATCAGGCCTAAACCTTTTATTTCAAAAACTCCCAAAATCCCCAAGATCTAAAAACTAGGCTGGAATTAAATTTGAGTTTGACATTATAATTGTCAGTAGTGTTGCCTACTTGAGAACATCTGGTATTTAAGACATGTTTGTGGCATTTAGAAGTATTTACTCATTCTATTACAGCAGGTTCTGCTTGCCTGCTCCATTTGGGGGGGCTTGTAGCATCCATCCTCATCAAGATCTTCTTAATACCACATACTGCTTTTAGTGTATGTATGCAAATGCCTTTTACTGGTTAGGGTTTCTCTATTTACTACAAATGCCCAGTTAGTCTAAATTTCATACTGAAGTCCGCTTGAGGAAACTGTTTTATTCTGCAGAAAACAGGAAAAGTTAAAAAAAAAACCAGCTTGTAAATTTTTTTACTCTATATTTACTGTTTTCATCCTCTCCGAATTTGTAGTCATAAATTTTTGGTGCAGCATGAATACAAAAGATATATTCTCTATGTAAACATGCTGATTTGCGAACAACAGAAAAGGTTATCCAGTCTTACTGTCAATATGAATGATTTTGCAGTATTGGTGTGTGTTTTTTAAAGTGAAGAGGTGGACAATATCTCTGACTCAGTACAAAATTCAATAAATACATTTTATTTTCTTCACGTCCATTATTGATATGATTATTGATCTTGGAAACTGAGTCTTCTGCAATATTAACTCTGACAAATATAACCCTAATTCAATGGACTTCTCAATTTGGGAGAACTTAAATACATGTTACCAAAAATCTTCTTTGAACACACTGTATAAGAAAAAGTAAAGTTTAATACCTAGAAATTTAACTTTGTTTTCCATGTAGGTTAGATACTGAATTTCTAGAACAGTACCTCTCCAACTAAATGTGTTTGCAATGTAGTTACTTGCTGCTTATAGTTCTCTGCATGTTTCTTTCCAGTTAGAGCTTAACTTGCATCTTGTGCATGGTTTGTGCAAACTGCATTTTAACTTGTCTTTGTCTTTGATGCTTGCAACCTAATCCATCCCAGCTACACTGCCTCGAAAAGAAAGTGCTGTCAAACAGGAAACTGAGAGTGAGTATAACTAGTTGCATTAGTTGGTATTGTCAATGCATGTGTGTCACTGTAAAGATGTAGTGCTGCATCATCAAAAATCTACCTAACACTGAAGCACTCCGTTCAGAACGAAACAAGCATTAGCAGAATCATTGTTTTTGCAAGGCAAAAATGGAAGCACGGCTAAAATGGCCCAACATAGAAGTTGAGAAGGTTTGCAGGTAAAGGCAACATCTTTTGATTTTTCCCATGCTACCAGTTGATCTAAAAAAATATGTTTGTGCCTGAGAGCTTGTCATAGTTTTCCAACTCTTCCAGTAGGTTGAGGTAACAACTTCTACTAGATCTATAGACGTTGTCTTGTTTGTGTCCCTAGACTAGATACCACCATAGCAGTTTAATTAAACTTGCAGGGTTGCATTTAAGTTTCTTTGTGGCTGAAATGCAAGACATTTACATGGGGGTCAAATATTGACGATTTCTTGGTCTTTTTTTGTTACTAGCTTTGTCCGTCGTGTTCCAACATTTCTGACAATTTGGGAAAAAATAAAAATAAAAAGATATGCTCCTCACCTAAGAGAAGGTCCTATGATATCGAGAAGAAATGCTGTTCATTATGATCAAAAGGAGAGGGAGCATTAGCAGTAGAGTTACTATGGGATTGTAGATCCAGCAAAATAACTGGAGGAACCTATGTAGATAAAAGGAGGTTAACAACAGAAAGATCAAGTTCAAGATGAAAAAGTGCCTGTGTGTATATGAAACTTTTTAATTATTTTCCCCTCTTGTGGATTAATTCTTCTGCTTATGGCAGCCTTTGTCCAAAGTATGTTCACAAAAGATCACAGCTGGTCTTTGCTTCCAAGCTTTCAAGGAGAATATCTGTCCCAGTGTTCCTATATTTCACAGTTTTGTTCCTTTTATACCTTTTTCCATGCTTTACAATGAGGGCTTATATAGCTACCTTGTACTTTTAAACTTGCTAGAGTGTTTCAGGTACCTTGTAATGAGAAAAGAATGTGTTTATAGGAAAAGCATTTGCAGCTTAGACAAAAATTGCGTTGTTTGATTTTAATGTAGGACTACTAGCAACTCTTGTCTCATACATTCTGTAATGAACCTGTTCTTTTTGAGTATTTTATTCTGCCTTTGCTTCACTCCTTCATAGTGTCTTTATTTCACAGGTCTTCATGGAAGTTCTGGAAAACTGACTGGGTCTACTTCTAGCCTAAATAAACTGTCTGTTCAGAGTTCGGGAAACCGTAGGTCTCAGTCGTCCTCACTGTTGGATATGGGAAACATGTCTGCCTCTGACCTTGATGTAGCTGATAGAACGAAATTTGATAAGGTAAAGCCAAAATGTTGTGTAGGATTCCTGCTTAGTTTTGCATTAGAAGTGTCTTGCATATCTTTCTTGTATAGTTTAACGATCTGCACTGTTTAAATCTTAAAACATGCCAATTTCAAATTCTGTATGCGCCACACATCTAATAAAGGCAGTTTCTAAGAAATACGTAGATCAGAGTATTATTGTCTGAGTACAAGGTTCCATTTAGTTCCTTTATATGCTTAGTGTGATCTGTAAAGAATATCAAGCATAAAAAATGGTCTATTAAGTTTAAGCCCAATATGCATTTTTAAAGCAAATAGGAATTGAACTGATGGATTCTTCAACGGATTTTTTTTTTTTCCTTTCCTCAGTGCAAATATTCTTGTGTTCTGTCACATTTTGCCAGTATGTAAGCAAAAGTGAAAGATAAGAAAGCATAATCTTTTAGCCAGGACTTGGGCATGGCCCTAAAATTTTATTTATACTGGTTTCACATAAAAGTTATCATCAGTTTTCAGCTTTAACCAATGGCACTAAGTTGTTATTGGAGTGTCCTCAGCATCTGTTTACAAACCTGCTGTCCTCAGCATCTGTTTCCCCCCGCCACCCCGAACCTTTCAGAGTGACAGTACTCCTTACTTCTTGTGGAATTAACTCCTCAGTACTGAGGAAAAGGAGCTGTTACCAGAGTGAGAGATAAAAAGAATTTTCCTGTTCTCTATTGAATTATTTGATGGAGATGAGTATTTTTCTTCTGACTTCTTCAAATCCTTGCTCAGTGTTTTTCTGGGAGGAAGTAGTATATGCCTGAAACAGTTATTCCATACCTGCAGCAGCAACTTGTCTAGAATTAAAATGATAGCTTTATAAAACAATTTTATACGAGTATTGTGCTAGTTTTTTTCAACTTCTGACTTATCTCACACCCATTGGGCACATGTGAGTGTGACTAATGTATACAGAGTTGTAAGCTATTGAGCTGACCTAGTATGTTATTTCAATTTCTTTTTTTTCCTAGAGTAATTTTCAGTAGTGTCGATTTACTACATGGCTAGGTTGGTTTCATTTATGTAAATTATTGCGTGTCTTAAATACTTGCATAGAAAATTCTGTGTTGTGTAAAGATGACAGATTAGAAGTACATCTAACACCTGACTTACAATTTCAGTAGTTCGTATTAATAAAACTAAATTATTTTAATGAATTATTGCCAAAATAGTGTTCCATTTTAGATTAAATCTAAAAATCATAATGAATACTTCTATTTCAGTACAAAACCTGCTGCTGGTTTCTGTAGCAGCTATGTAGAAACTTTCTACAGAGCAGTTACCTCCTACATACACAGTTTACCTGCTTTTCTTCCCTAAAGCCTTTAATTTTGTTGTCTTCCTCTCAGCAACCCAGGCAGAAAAGAGGGTGGCAGAACCCATGGCTTACTATTAAAATGCGAATGTTTTCATTATAGCACTAAAGTCCTTCCTCAGGCTGTGAGGGGCTATGTTGAAGGTGCAGGTATCACTTTTAAAGTTATAAGTATGAGCTGTTTCCATTTCTATTAAGTAGAAATAAGCCTTCTAAAGCTTAGTCTAAAGTATAAAATCCTATGCAACAATTAAAATTAGTATTACTAACTGTTTGTAGTATTTGGTGTGTTGATAAACTGGCTTTTTATTTTAGATTTTCGAGCAAGTATTAAGTGAACTAGAGCCTCTATGTCTGGCAGAACAGGACTTCATTAGTAAATTTTTCAAACTACAGCAACATCAGAGCATCTCGGGAACAACAACGGTATGACTCTTAATTCTGGCACTGAAGTAAAAAATATTGAACAGGCCTCGTAAGAGACCTGTTTAAAAGATAACTTCTGAATTTATCTGGCAATTATGTGATCCAGGTGATCAGTAGTTTGTTTTTCTGCGTTAGCTGGCAGAATCTTTATTTTTGGCTGACCAATACAAAATCTATTAAAGGAGGACTGAAATGTTTCTTTTGCCATGACTTTGTTTCCTCATAAGATCACAATAAACTCTTCATCATGCTATGTAGGAAGGCAATGGGGAGCAATTGTGGATAGTGCCGTATTCTGGGGAACATGACCAGAAAACTGCCAGCACCTTGCAACCCACTGTATTTGCTACTTTGAGGAGGCGGGGTGGAAAAAGCTGATAATTATGTTGGCTTTGTCAGATATACTTATCACTGAAATATAGAATTGGCGACAAGCTTTCAGCTTCCTGTATATGCCTTCCTTGTTCTTACAGAATGAAGCAGAGGAAATGGATGGAGGAACTTTATCTCGTTCATACACTTCTGGTGTTCCACAAACAGTATCATCCGAGTATGCTGCTGCTGTATATTATTGATTCCGAAGACTACATGTGAATTTATTTGGCATATAAAACTTCTTTCTCTATAATCAAAAATTGTTCCTTTTTAGTGAAAATGAATAGTGAACTCTTAATTTGTACCTAGACACTGAATGTGTCAGTAAATATAAAAATTTTTGTATATAGGATGGATGTTTCTGTCTACAGTAGTATAAAAAAAGATGCTTAATTCTCTAATAGTTTGCAAAGTGAAACTAGGGACTGTAATATGTAAAATATGCTTTGGAAAATATGCTTAGCGAAGTTCTAAATTTGAGTGCACGGCAGCTTCCACACAGAAAATACTTTTTGGAATATTTTATACCTGTAACTACTGATTTTTACTGTGTGGCATTTGCATTTCTTCCCTTAGCAGCATTCTGAAAATCATGAGACTTGTTGAATGCAAATGAGACTACTATGTCCAATAAATTTATCCTAAAAATGTTATCAAAGAACATGTAAAATAGCCTAGTAAACTGTCAGAGTAATATTTTTATCTTATGCATTTTTAATAGGAAGGACATGATCCGACAAATGATGACAAAAATATTTCGTTGTATTGAACCTGAGCTGAATAATCTTATAGCGCTGGGGGACAAGATTGATAGCTTTAATTCCCTTTATATGTTAGTTAAGATGAGTCATCATGTATGGACAGCACAAAATGTGGACCCAGCTTCCTTTCTCAGCACAACACTTGGAAACGTTTTGGTGACTGTCAAAAGGAACTTTGATAAATGCATTGTAAGTTCTTTACTTATTCTGATTAAGCTAACTATAATATAGGAAGCCCACTCCTACCCAGTTTGATTTTGCATTTCTTTATAGTTAAATTTTTGCTTTTAATCTGAAATGCAAAGGAGTGACTTTATTGCTCTTCTACTGGCCAAACCTTCAAAAAAGATAAACTAATTGGTGGTTGTGGGTTTTTTTTTCTCTCCATTCCAGTTTTCTTCAATACTTAGCTATTTGTAAGAAATATGACCACTCTTTCACTGCTGTGAGCCAGCTGACATTTTTAGTTGTTTGTTTAAACTTGTACTCTTACTGAGATGACTGAAGCCAGACAAGTAAACTGTAGCTCTCTGTCTTTTTTACTTACCAAAACAAAACCCCATGGATTTACAAGGGTTTTGCTTTTCCCCTTTAAGCACAATATACCAAATAGACATCTCTTCCATGTGTTCAGTTATTTCTGTCTTATATCTAACAAAAACTTGGTTTAGATAAAATAGCAAATCTTTTGGCAGTAGGAGAGGCAGCTTCTACTGTCAGAAACTTCCTTTTGCTAATACAATATGACCATTATATGAAATAATGGCAAGTTTAGTGAAAACATAGTTGCTGGTATAACTTTTTTTTTTATAGTCATAAGTGTAATTTGACACTAGGCCAACATAATATGACTGACCGTTCTTGATGAGTTTAATGTTTAAAACATTTTGAAGCTGATTTTTTTGGATTATACTCAGAAATAAAATTTCAGTAGAAGACTAAAGAAACTTCCTGTAGCAAAATTAATTGTTAGCTTGGCTGAATCAGAAAAAATGAAGTTCCTTGTTGGATTATAGAATGAAAATTGTTAATTGCTTTTGGTGGATAAGTTGGGTTGTTTTTTTTCCCTTGGTGTCCCTGTGTTTCCTCCCCCCCCAATACTAAAGTAAACAAAGGAGAATAAAAGCTGGAAGATTATACTTTCCCATCTTCCTTTATTTCCAATTATTTTATTTCTTAACAATTTTTTGAGGGTAAAAAGAGAGGAAGACTAAGTAGATATACTAATTGAAAGATAAGAATATTTCCATGTTTGAATAAATGTCAGTTTTTCAGTATGTCTGCATTTTTCTTTTTTTATCAGTTGTTACATGGTCTAGAGTCATATCTTAGAGGCTAACATCTGTTCTTGTTTTAAATTTTAAGAGTAACCAAATGAAGCAGATGGATGAAGTAAAAATCTCAAAGAAGAGTAAAGTTGGGATCCTTCCATTTGTTGCTGAATTCGAAGAGTTTGCAGCCCTTGCTGAATCAATTTTCAAAAATGCAGAACGACGAGGAGATCTAGATAAAGCCTACATAAAACTTATTAGAGCTGTTTTTGTCAGTGGTAGGTCTTCTGAGGTTGTCATAGTTACTAAAATGATTGTTTCCTCCTATTTAGATATAATTTTGCTCCAATTAACAGAATTTTTTTTATTGCAAGCCATGTGACTGATGGTGAAGTTTTGGTTATCTCTGTTATCAGTAGGAGAGCAAGTGTAAACTTTTTAATTGTGATACACTTTTTAAGAGCAACCTGTAGATGTTTCCCTTTGTACGTACCTGTAAAGTAACTTTCAGTTACGACAGAGGGAAGTGGTTAAGACTCTGGAGGGAGAGAAGAGATGGTAGCAACCCAACATGCTCAATCTGAAGTGGTTTCCTGTCTTTTCTCCCACAGTGTAGCTTAAACGAGGACATGAATCTGGATGGGATCCCTGGCATTTGGCCCTAATACTGTTTATCTTCACAGCCCTGTCTAAAATAAATTACGGGAGTTCTGGCTATTAATTTGACCCTTTCTTGGCAGATTAGGTCCTTTGTGTCCTAGCCTGACACAGTAGAATGTCTCTCCAGTCCTTCCTGTTTTCCCAGCTATAGTCTGGAAAAACAGCAGCTACACCCTTGTTCTACTGGCTTTATTTAACATTAAAAAAAAAGGGGGGCAGGGGGGTGGAATATGCAAGCCAATGAACTCTGGAAAAATTGTTCTTCCCTTTTAAAATGGGGGGGAAATAGGTGGACAGACCTCTCCGTGCTGATTTACCTGCAAATTTTCAAACAACTCCATGTATAGTAATTCCCAACCAGAGACTTACCTCTTTTTTTAGGGGAAGATTGAGCAAGAGGAGACAGTAGAGGCAATAAAGGTAGTTTGAGGAAATTATAGCATAGTGATTCTGAACATACTAGGAAATTGTGAAGAGACATTACCTCATAGTACAGTAGACTCGAGTCCATATGTAGTCAGCAGGAGCATCCCAGCTGATAGGACAGTAAATTTTGAAAATGTTTTTTTATTTGACTGCACCCAACTTTTCTGTCCTTAAGAATTTATTGTTCAAATGATAGAACTAAGCAAACACCAATAGACAGGCAAAACTATACAACAATAAAATAACTAGTGTAGGAAGAAATTAGAAAAGCATATTTTAAAAGGGGTTCAAAATTATGCCAGTCAAACACCAAAGAAGAAAAAAATCTGTTTTGGACAAGTACAGAGCAAACTTAAAAAAGAACAAAGAATTATGATGTGGGAGGATAAGGAATAGAAGTAAAGAATGAAGATGAAACAAAAGTAAAAATTATGTACAAAATACAGTGCAAGCAGTATGTTTAATGCAGTAGGATATTTAATTTACAAATAATGTTTCAAACAGGTCAAAAAGATGTAGTACTGCAGGTAGAATTGGCGGGGCGGGGGCAGTTAGAACATTTTATGGGAGAACAAAATTGGCAGTAGCAGACTTCTCCTAGTTGGCAATTCAGTGTTCTTGGGCATAGAGACTTAACTGTGCTCTTTGAAACCATCCTCTTTCAGCCTGCTTTTAGGTGCAATAAGGGAATGATACGTAGAATTTCTTTTGTCTGCCCTGGGTTTTTTTGGGGGGATGAAAGTAAGAGACGTACATGTGGGATTATCCATTTTTATTATTAAACTTGGGGGTTGACAGTAACTCTGACCATAAAACTAATAAGCTAAGCAAAAATTGAGAGACTGGGAAGTACACTTTAAAAAACCCACCACCTTACTGAAGATTTTTGTTCTAGCAAAGAGGGGAATGGGAATGAGACTTTTCTTAAATAGTTTTGTCACATGAAATTTATTAGGGATAATGAAAGCATGCTTGTAAGCATCCACAGAATGTGGGTTGTTTCTCACTTACGTAAATAACTGTATGTAGTCACTATTTTGTATCTTTTTATAAGTGACTTTTTTGGCATACAAATTTCATGGTCTTGGAGCCTGTACGTATCTGTTACTTACGTTACAAAATTCCTTTTCTGACAGTATTATGTTTATCAGTTACGTTTTTCTCAATTTGGTTGTCCTTTTGGTGTTTTAAGTATTTTGCTTCCTTTTTATTTCAGTTGAGAAAGTAGCTAATGAAAGCCAGAAAACACCCAGGGATGTGGTCATGATGGAGAACTTCCATCATATTTTTGCAACACTTTCTCGCTTGAAAATTTCTTGTCTTGAGGCTGAGAAAAAAGAAGCCAAACAGAAATACACTGATCATCTTCAGTCTTATGTAATCTACTCACTTGGACAGCCTCTTGAGAAATTAAATGTAAGTATATTTAAGTTTATATACATTTAAATGGTACAGAGTAGTCTTTCTGAAGTGTTTAGTTTGCATTATCTGATCTCTTTATCACTGCATCTATTATAATCTCTATTTTATTATTTTACTCGAGCGTGCCTGGCAAGAGTACTCTACTCATGAGGGTAACAGTCTTGGATGAAAAAAACCAAAATTTTCATGGCAATGAATTGTACTGACTAAACATCAGTTGTATTTCTCAACTGCAGAGAAAATTACTGTAGTTTCTGAACTGTTCAACAATTAAGAAAACTTTTAGGAAAGTTCTGTATGTCCAGAGTTGAACTAAGTGTTAAACTGAATGGTGACTTAGGTTCATACTCAGTTCTGCCCACTGAATGTTTCCCTCTGTTCATTGCTTTTTCTATGAGCAGGATTTCAGCCATTCATTTTCTGAAAAGTCCAAGATGTATTCTCTTTCTGAAAATTAAAATGCTTTATTGCAGCTTCCCACTTGTGGGTTGACTGGCCAGCACCTAAGCTGCCACATAACTAACTGCTTGCTCACTCTCCCCTCCTGAAGCAGGACAGGGAGAGAATAGGAAGAGCAAAAGTGTGAACACTTGGGGGTGGAGATAAAGACAGTTTAATCAGTGAAGGCGGGGGCGGGGAGAGAGGAAGATAAGTGATGCAAAGGCAGTCACTCACTGCATCCCACAAGCAGACTGATGCCCAGCCAGGTTCTGAGCAACAGCCACCTGGAAGACACACACCACTCCCACCCCCTCCTCTAACCCTACTTTTGGTAGCTGAGCATTTTGTTACATGCTGTGGAATACCCTTTGGCTAGCTTTGATCTGTTCAGCAATAACCAAAACACTGGTGTGTTATCAGCCCTGTTTCAGCCACAAATCCGAAACACAGCACCATATGGGGTGCTATAAAGAAAGTTAACTCAGTGTGGCTCTACATGTTCATAGGCATACTTCTCTCCATTTTTATTATGTTGAGCCAACTGGTGTGGGGCAGTGAGAAGAGAGGGCAATTACGAATAAATATTGCTGTTGTGTAATTATGGTTTAAGTAGAGAAAATCCTATTCAGATGCTTGCTCAGTGTATCTGAAAGATTCAGTATTTTCCTAGACTATGGCTTCATTAATTGAAGATTTTGAGGCTTATTCAGTGTTAGTTATAAGGTTGCAAAGAGAAGCTTGATTGCTTCTAGAAATGATTGATTTCAGTTTTATGCTAGCACTTAATGGAGTGCTGTATTGTTGGGCTGTGCTTTAATGTTTATGGCTGAGCACTACTTTGTGCTAAATTAAAAAAACAAAAATGGGGGGAACACACAACAGTTGTTAGGCAGAATCAAGACTCAACTACACATATGCTTGTCAAATTAAGTTAATTAGTTTAGATTTGTGATAAACATTAATGCTTTTGTTGTTTGTTAGCATTTTTTTGAAGGTGTTGAAGCTCGTGTGGCACAAGGTGTACGAGAAGAGGAAGTAAGCTATCAACTGGCCTTTAATAAACAAGAGCTTCGTAAAGTTATAAAGGAGTATCCCGGTAAGGAAGTGAAGAAGGGCTTGGATAATCTCTACAAGAAGGTAGATAAACATCTCTGTGAAGAAGAAAACTTACTTCAGGTAAACTAAATCATGGCTTAAAAACCTTGTGATGTTTACACAAAGGCTTTTATTACTGCTTTTGCATATGTATTCTGTGAGAAGTGCCTAGCTTCAGCATAACTCTGAAAAACCACGAATTTTGAGCGGAGTTTTTTTTATAATCCCACTCTCATTCTAGTTGTTGTAACATTGATTTGAACTGTTGTGGTAGAGTTCAGAAAGAAACTTCCTTTATGATTCCCTAGGTGTCCATTAATGGGTGATGTCTGTTCTGCAAAATACACTGAAAGTAAAGAGAACTAGATTTAAATGAACTGTTAACTTGGTACGGAATTTATCTGATACACTGTAGCAGAATAGACTTTCAATTACGTCTTTTCTGGTAGTTATTTTTTTCTTATACTCTGTAAACTTTCTCACTGGAGTAAATGATAAATAGATTTAAGAGTTAAGCATGTATTACCAACTTTTTAAAAGTCTGAAATGTGAATTAGTAGCCCTGTTCTGGTTTGGGGTGTTTTCTTTAAAGACAAAAGCAATACCTCTTTTAGGGCAACTTCCTCTTCTTTACTATTTTCTGCTTTGCCGATTTGGTAGGAGTCCTGTAAACGTTAAAGATTTTAAACTTAATGGGTAAAAAACTTCTTTTTTTTAATACAGAAACTCAGTTTACTGAACTTTGTTGTTAGCAAGCTTTAGTTTTAAAATGACACCTGAACTGAGAATCAATTAATGAGCCAATATTTTGTAGTTCACATATAATAATACATTGTACCAGTTGACATTTCCTAAAGTTTGCTTTCTTTGGCAGGTTGTGTGGCATTCCATGCAAGATGAGTTTATACGACAGTACAAGCACTTTGAAGGGCTAATAGCTCGCTGCTATCCTGGATCAGGAATTACTATGGAATTCACTATACAGGATATTTTAGACTACTGCTCCAGTATTGCACAGTCTCATTAAGTTCTAGAAAGGGAAAAAAGTTTGTGCCTGTGTATAAGGGAATCAAACACTATAAATGCTATTTGTATTTTAAAAGGTGGATTTCCGTGTGTGTGTGTAATTAACTGCCATCCATATATGTCAAGTTACACTCCTGCTTCAAATGTCTTTCAGGGCAAAATGAAACTTTTGGGGGGGATTTGTTGCTCTTCTACTGCGTTGAAGTACTGTTTGAAAGCATTAACTCTGTGAAACACTTTGGATATAGTTTTTACCCTTCCCCTAATGTTCAGATACTTTTATTTATAATCCCTTCTCTGGCTAAAAGCGGTAAGCACTACGTTCATAGTACGCAAAAAGGATACTACTGTTTTCACTAATATTTTGCATCTTGGAAATCATGTAAGCATTAAAGACTATCAAATCTTTTCCCTTCCTTGTTCTAGAAAGTATGGATGTGGAACTCTGCAGTGGGAATACTGAATTCCCATTCTGAGACATGACTATGGCTGTAATTCTTAATTAAACGGTGTTCATCATATCCTTTATTTCTATGGAGTGTTATTTCAAAAAGGTGAAAATGCAGTTATTTCTATTGTTTTGTCTCTGGGCATTGAAGTAGAATTGCTCTATTTCTCAACAGGCATCTTTTTTTCTTCCCTTTAGTAAGTGTGATGTGGCACCAGTATACTACCATGTCATGTAACCCCTTCTTCCTCCTGGAGCTTCAGCTGTGATTCAGGACCTTGTTTTTCTGTACAGCTTGAGGAAATTGCAAAGCTGCTGGCTATAGCTGGGGTGTATGTAGAATAGAAACAGGCACAATAAAGGTAAACATGCAGACAAAGATAGGATTTTGGTTTTTGAGATGCAGGTGCAAGAAAAAAAGAACAAACCACAAAACCACTACTACAAGAATGTTGCAAGTCAGAAGGAAAAACTAACCTATTAGATAGGCAACTTGGCAACATTGAGGCATGTGGATTTGGGTGAGCATACTAACAAGTCTCGTAGCTCATTAAATCCTAGTTGTCTTCTGTTTACTAATAAAATACCAGATCCAAATTGTACATAGCTTCCTTACAGTGTCTTTGCATGTGACAAAAGGTAGCCAAAGCAACACCAAGGGGAGGTAAGGGTTACACGTAGCAGAACTTCCCTTTAAACTAGTATAGACAGCTTATAAAAGAGGACTGTCCCCCTTACATCAGGCACTTCAATCCCTTAAGTCTGACCACAGCACCTGCACAACAGGCAGCTATGCTACGGGCAGTAAATGCAAGTCAGACCCTCTGGGAAAGGCTCGCAGCCGGCGGTAACATCTGACGCTCTGCCAAGCTGTCACCGCGGGCCATTCCTCTGCCAGCAGCTTACACCAGGAGAGGGCTCCTCAGCCAGCCC